AATCCTCCTTCTCCTCGTTCACGATCGTGAGTTCGCAGTTTCAGATTGCCGATTATTCGAATTTAAATTAGGTCGCATAATGCCTCTTGTAGAGATTACACTATTATAAATATTAAGTCTGCATGAATATGGTGGAAGGTTAATTCCGAGGATTAGCCAGAGCGCGGCTAAATCCACATTGCATGTCGCGTGAATAGGGAAATATCGTATCATTATGTATATATATATATATAAGTTTTAGTTCCTATATATTAAGGCAAAAGATTGGAGGAATAAGTCTTATTCGTGTTTCGTTACTCTTAAAAATTAATGAAGTGTAGTCAAGCATTATTGATATTGTTTTCAATTATCATATCAGAAATTAGCTTTTTGGCGCAATTTAAAGAATTTAAATGTTAATGATTAATAAATTAAATCAAAATACAAATTTCAAAGTATTTTAGACAACATTATGAATCATTCATTTTTAAATAAGTAATAGAAAAATATATAATAATAAAATATTCTTTTTATTTTATCAAATTTTTTTTAATAATTTAAGTCTATAAACTTCTAACAAAATTATTTTAATTTTTTTTTAATGATGAAATAAAAGTTAAATAAATTAAATTGTCAGTAATTTTTTTCTGTTCTTACAATTTGTACTCAATTGTCTTGAGTATCACCACTCAATCTTTTTATCTGTTTTGCTTTATATTTCTCTTTTTTCATTGTAACGCTCTCATCTACATGCTTTAGTAATCAGATTTACGTACGATATATCTTTTTTTTTTTTTTAACAAATTTGTAGGTCCAGGTCGCGCAGCCCCCGTAGGAAATCCCTTGGTCGTTACCCGAGGTAAGATTTTCCTGCTCCTCTTAGTTTCCCATCTCCTCTTTATACATAAATCTATCTCGCTTCTTTTTTTCTGTTCCATTTTGCGATCTACCGCAATTTTCAGGTGCTAAGACAAATGAAAATCTCTCAAAGCGCGAGGCGATCACCGGCAACATACTTGGCAGACATACATTAGTTATTCTTAATCTTTTGTAGATCCTGGTCGAGAAGTCCGCAGAGAACATCGCTAAGCCGTTACTCCAGGTAAAAATAAATTCTCTCTTTTTTACTCATTTGACAAACTTTTTTGTATTTTGCTTCGCAAAAGTTTTCAGAAACTGATTTTCAGAATCCTGACGGGGATAGTGACTAGTAGGTATACACTATTGCTTGCAGTGTAGTATTCATATTGCACGCATTATTTGTCATGAGATAGTCATACTCACTAGAGGCATTTAAGACGGAGAACGATGATGGAATCAAATTAATCGGTAAAATTAACGAAAGAAAATAGAAATTTGCATTTAACTTAATAAAATTTTTACTTAGAAATCGATTTCGCTATTTACTTTATCACTGTTCTCTGTGTCGAAAGTGATCGAAATTTATAATTGGAAAACTAAGGCGTCTTAGAGAGTAGTCGATCACAATTTCGGCGAATCGTAGGTACTCGAGCGGCAGTAAAAAAAAAAAGAAAAAAATAGTATTTGATCGGCAATCGAATTGAAAGTGGGAGAACAAGACTGAACGAACTATGCGATGGTAAACGAAAATGAGAAAGAATTAAATAGAAATAATGTGATAACAAATAGAAACAGGCTCAGTAAATTTCAGAAATGCGTGATAGCAACGGAAACAACAGAACTTCACTTCGGCATTTCACATGTGAACTTTTATATTATGCCATTATCGATTTTACTTTTTACTTCAAAATGGGAGATCTTCTCGGTGTCTAAAATCACAAATCATAAAGAAAGTAAAAATTGAATATATAACTTTATAAAGTTTGTATCTTTTTAATAACTTTATATAGGTAGAAGATTACTAGAATTGTAAAGATAGATTTGTTTCTAATATTAATGGCAATAGCAAATAATAATTCCTTATTGGCAAAAAGTATAATATAAATTCCAGATTAAATTAATTTGAATAAATTCTTTTATCTTACATTAACGTAAGATTAGAGATCAGGAAATTTATTACTCTTATTCTGTTGAGAATAGTTAATATTTTAATTTCTCAGGTATAAATATATTTTTGTTGCTTGTTGAGACTTGAAGGAAGTTGAGACGAACACTGCTTTCATCACTTCTCATCGCACACGCACCGTGGCATGGATGAAGCACGCAGATGATTCAAATGTACGGAAGTGAATCTGTGTGATCTGAACCTGAACAGTGTTTATCAATTCATTTTGATGAATATATATATGCTTGATGCGTCGCGACGAGAACGTGGTGCGTACGGAAGCGGTATATACATCCATCACATATCTAGATATTCGAGTCGATCAGCACGGAGCACAGAGAGGTCCTCCCTTCTTTTTTTTTCTTTTTTTTTTTTCTCGTATGTACTCGAGTGGGCAGTCTAGGATAAACGAGAATGCGAGAATCGATCGAAAACGGCGAGAAGCGAGCGCGCGTGCAAATTTCGTTCTCGATTCGGAAATTCTTTTTTTTTTCTCCCGAAATGACGAAAGTTCGCGAAAGAAAAAAAAAAGAAATTGAAACGTAAAAAATACGCGATAGTGGCCAGGAGTATGATAACGTTGATGATTATATTGCTAAAACTGACGTTTGCAGATTCTACCAGCGTCAGCTCCTAGCTCTGCTCGTCTCCCCGCCACTACTACTACCACTACTTCTACTACTACTACTACTGCTACTACTACTTCTACAGCCGCCGTGAAAAAAGCGTATTATTACGCGAACAAAAAAAAAGCAAATCGTCAGTCTCGCAATCGTCAATCGAACAAAACTGAACAAAAAATATGCCTGCCTGCCCACTAACTTCCCAACCAAGTCACCATCAGTCACCACCAAGTCACCGAGTATATAGGAAGCCGTCCGTACGTCTGTCACGTCACGTCACGTCGCCCGTCGATGTTGTGCGTTGTGGTGTTGCGACGTGCACACAGCACACAACGGCGCAACAACCGAAAACAACAGTTTCCGTGTGCCGTCACCGCTGCCGGAGTATCGCCAATGCCCGAGACTGCCACCTTCGGAAAAAAAAAGAAAAAAGAAAACATTGCTTTTTTTTCGTTGCTGTCCCCCTTCCCCCGTCCGCCATCGTGCACCGCAAAAAACCGTCTTGAACCGAAAAAAAAACATTGTCCATCGCTCCACTGCGGGACTTTCCCCTTCGATCACCACTACTACTATTACTACTACTACTACTCTTCCACCAACCACCACCACCACCACCATCACCAACCACCAACCACCAACCGACCAATCAACCGGGTGTTGTGATCCACCTTCTTCGACTCTTCGTCTCAGCTTTAGGGGGACGGCAGCACACATCGAATCAATCGCCAAAAACAAAATTTGCCACCGTAAGAAAAAAATGTCATCCACAACTGGCCATCACCACCAGTTTGTGACCACCACCAATCGCGATGCAAATTATTAAAAAAAATAATAAAAGAAATCGTCATACAGTAATTCTGTCCATCGGCGCGTCTCTCCATTTGACTACGATCGACTGTCTTCCCGACTGTTCGTCGTTTCGAGACCGACGTTTCTATTCTGCCACTACTACTAGTATTACTGCTACTTCTACCACTACTGCTACTGCCACTACTCGTCGACATCACTTAGGAACGTGTGTTATCCGCAACAACAACTGAACGCGTGAGAGTTGCCGCCGAGAGATCTTCTCGACCTTCGACTCCTCGAACGAAATGATCACGCAAAATAAGCGAAATGATCACCTACTACACACCATCCCACCACCACCCACCAACCAACCACCTGTACATGTTCACATTGGTATTTCACCGATTTTCAAAGATTTTTTATCTCTATCTCTATTTTTCATTTTATATATATATATCTCTCTTTTTTACTTTGTTACAATTCTTATTTCAAATTTGTGATCGTTTCGGTGAAGAGTTCTGTCTGATTCCATGAACAATTAATGCATTTTATCGGGATGTATAAATAAGAATCTCGAAGACAATTAATTGAGAGAATGAAATTGTTTTTAATCGAATTTTTATAAACGAACAGTAGTGTTTAATCGAATCAGAGAACTCCCAGCCAATACACATAATATAAATAAAATTGATATACATCGAGATATAACATTTATTGATAAAATTTAATGATTACTACTAAAATTAATCCTCTACTTTTTTTGTTTTCGCATTTGATTGGTGAGACATCATTTTGTATTAATTCATTATTAATCGTGTCTAACTATATAATTTTTATACATCATTTTTAGGTAAAATAGGAATTAAATAATTCTCCTAATTCTCTTACAGTTGCCTTGCGATGATTTTTCGTATCTGTGTTCCATCGCACCGCTTCACTCTATTTTGATCAGAATTTGACGTCATAATTTTACAAGTATTTTCTTATAATGATAAATAGGTGATCATTGAAAAATAAAGACAAATTACACAAATATTTAAACATTAATAAATGATTATTGTTAAATTAAAAATCTATATTTATTTTTTAATAATTTAAAATTTAAGAATAAAAAATTAAGATATTTAATACATCTATTAATAAATGAATAATTCTCTAAAATAGTAATAGTTCCGATCAAAAATTATTTGAAAGTAATAATTAAATTAACAAATATTATTTTAGCAATTAATTGTACTAAATAAATCGTTTGTTTATCATAATATTAATATTATTTTTGACAAATAACATTAATTGATAATTTAAGATAAACGGTGTCAATAATTACAATATTATTTATTTGCAAAATTTGTAATGGAGTGGAACGTAATGCGTTCTAATAATTTTGTTATGTCAAAATGAAAATGATGTCAAACTGCGTTTAATTTTTTAGATCGAGATCACGCAGCCCCCGCAGAAGATCATTGACCCGGAGCCGCAGCCGAGATCGCCGCTCACGTTCGGATTCCCGTGACAGACGGTATTAATATATTGCTAATTAAAAGAAAAAAAAAAGCAAAATTTTTATTAAAAATTAAAAAAAAATAAAGACAACGAAGACACTTCACACATTTGGTATAATAAAGACAGATTTAAAAAAATCCTCTCCATTATGACACGACAAGAATTCCGCGTTCGCGCGCCATAAGAATTCATCGCGAAAGAGACTCCTCTTTTGCGATAGCGACAAAAAAAGAGAAAAATGTGTTTACACCACGATACACTTTTTATCTAAGCTTTGTATTCTTTATCTAATTGCAGTTAGATGCTAAAAGTTCAAGAGAGAAAGAGAAGTAGATAGAAAGAGAAAGAGAGAGAAAAAGCGGATCGACTTTATATGCTGGAGAGAAGACAGAAAGAAAAAAAATATAAAATGAGAAATTTTTGTATGTACATAATAAAAATGGATTGTTAATCACACATACATACTACACGTTCGCATTTGAAATTATGAACAATTATAAAAATGCGACGAAAAGTAGACATTCGATCAATTTCGTAAATCACATATTTAGTTTGTAAGCTACAGTTTCCAAGTTTCACGACTATATGTACGCGTATACACACATACATAATATATTATGCACAGTATATTAGCACATTATATGACTAGGTGAATAATTGTATGCCTACATGTTTAATTAACATTATCAAGATATGCTACTTAAAAACAAAAATAATAAAATATTACAAAAAATCTAATTAAAAGTCATTTGATGAATATATTGTGGAACAAAATTTAATCTTTCTTTGCTACACGAGTGTGAATAGTCATCTTTTATCTGCTGAACATAAGTTTATTAGCAAAAGTTTTATCACCAAAGATTTCTTTGTGTTGTTTGAAATTGCTTGAAATCTCTAATATATAAGAGTTGGTAAAGACTAATGTTGTAAAAAAAGAAAGAAAGATGCTGAATGCAAAAAGTGCAAGCAACGCAAAATCTCAAATCTCAACTTGATAGCCAATTTTTGCCAACGGATTCAGCATGTAAAAATACGTTGGAAATGATTATACTCGTGTTGCAAAATTGTGTGTTCCTTAATGTTACTATCATTAATTAATAGTTATTAATGGATATTTGATTAGATATTTTCTACCACATTATATTTCCAACATAAAAAATAAATTGATATTGATTAGATAATACTTATATTTGAAGAAAGGACGGGGAAGAGAGCAAAAATTGTTTTTTGTTTACTTTGTACTTGACTTTGTACTTGAATTTGACAAGACAAAGAAGTTGTGAATGATAATAAATAAATGTGTGAAATTTTCAGCCAAATTGATTTTTTTCTGTGTAATGCGAACATAACAAGAAATTTGCACAGCTATCTTCTTTCTTCACATCAATAATGAATAATAATAATTAAAAAAACGACAAGTGAGTATTACAAAAGTTAAATACATAAGTATAAATATGCATTTGTGTATATGATGCGTGTACACAAAAAAATTATTGTGATATAAGTTTGATTGTTTTTTTAAGGAAAGATTTTAAAAGAAAATTGTTTTCTATTTTTAATTTCGATATCTTTGTAAGTATTCTGATGAAAGAATTAAGATAGTTACTTAAGATTAATCGAATTTGTTTAATTTAAGATTACGCGGAAGAAGTTTGCGCCTTTTTATTTTGCAGAAAGATTCTACGTAAATTTGTATAAATTTTTTTTATAGTTTCATAATGAGACTAGATATAAGCTGTATTGCCTAAGGCAAGAGAGCATAATCTGACTCCCTGCTGACAGATGTGATAATCTCTTATGGGCAATGCTAGAGTCTCGTCCAGCAACTTCAAAATCTCAAGATATGCTTTCAGTGCATGCTCATTTCGGCCTTCTTCGAGATTCGTCGATGCGACTTTGAAAAGTGCGTCCGTATCCTGTAGAGCTTTCAAGCCCTTCAGAATGTTCATACTTTTGCCACACTTCGCACATCCGATCATGAACTCATTCGTATCGCTTTTGACCATTAATACATTACCACAAGACGGTCCAGTCTCACATTTAAATCTGGAAGAACAAAGCAAATGGGGTAAATTAATGTGTTTTCAATAATAAGATAGAGTAGATGATTTAAGTGTTTAATATTTTTTATATTACTCTTAAAAATTTTTTTCATATTTATACATGTTAGCAATTTTTTATTTAATTATTAAATAAGTAATACTAATAATTGACACAAGTCAATATTTTTATTATAATCTTATTATAAATAATCACAATGTCAATTATATACTCTAAATTAATATTAACATTTTTGAAAATCGATAAATTATACCTGAGTATTGTTGGATCCAATTTATCTAGAAGCGGCCAATGTCCCGAGCACGCTTCGCAATTACAATCGAACCAATATTGCACCCTTAATTTTCTTTTTCGCTCACTCTCGGGCGTAGTTGTGAAGATAGGACCATAATTTTCAGAAATCTCTTCACCTGCGTTGATTGTGCGAACAGCGCGAACAATCATTGTGGTGCCGATGAAATACCTCGATTTACATTTTTTAGTTTAAAAATCTATTAGTTGATAATAATTCAATAACAATGAATAAAACATTTATTATTATTTACCGAATTACGCCAGGATTGCACGAGTGATTTAGCATTGCAACCGTAGGATAAACACCACCGCCTATGAACACACTTTTGGTTTTAGTAAGTGTCTTCTGTCCTTTTAGCCTTACCAGTTCTGAAATCTAGAAAACGATTTGCAGTGATTGTGACAAATACAATAACGCTCGTTTTCAAAGCAATAATAATGAAATACAATCGAGCGAATTGTAATGTTACATTATGTGTCGTCCTTACTTCATGCGAGTTGAATTGCAATAATTGTAAATTGTGTAATAGCAATCCTGCGATAAACAATTCCTCGTCTGACAATCTATTGTCCGCTGAATCGGCGGTTTTCACATTTTCCGGTAAATAATTGCTGGATCTTAACAATCTGAATAACCAGGTTGCCATGTAGGCCCTGTGAAAAATATCCTCTGGCAATCTTCTGTCTTCATGAGTAACTATTGATATACATAAAACATAAAATATTCGAAAAAAGAAAATAATTCATAAATTTGAATTTATTAGATTAATAAGAAAGAGAAGAGAATCATTTATTTAACTAAAATTCAAAATAAAAGTTCTTGATAATTTTATTAATCGAAGGAAATAAAAATCTAACGACAGTCTCGTGTAAAAAAAATCATGATTGATTAAATATTCATATTTGTGTAATCAAAACAACTATTTATATTTTTTCAGTCACCTAAATTGTAGAAGGTATTTATATAATCGTCTCCTCGATATGGATTCTTCGCGGAAATCTTTAACGCAGGATCCCTAAACTGTTCCTTCAGCCTCATAACTTCTTCGAAAGGTCTCTGTGTAATCGCCCTTAGAGCCAGGAAACACGTGACCGAAGCTTTCGAGTACCACAGGGCCGGTAACAATTTGCACTCCTGCGAATGCACCTGAGCATCCGCATCTCTGCAACGGCGACTGCAGTACGCGACGCAGCTGTAGGTGCGACAAGCCGCCGGTGTTGGCACAAATATCCTCATGAAGCATAGGTGGCAATGTGTGAGTCTTGAAAGTCGAATGTCGCATACATTTTAGTCGTGATATAATTTCGCACAATCGCGATTTGCGATAAACGGAGAGAAAAGAAAAAAAACAAAATGGATCAAAAAATAGCGAAATAAAAAAAAGATTACGTGATTCGTAACCGAGATGAATTATATTCTCGACGATAGCTATGAAATCTTGAATTCACAAATCTTTGAAATTCACAAATCTTCTGAATCGGAAATTATAGTAAAATCACCAGCAACAGTAGTGCGATAAATAAAAGTATTAATAATGCCGGCTCTTTGCCGACAATGTTGGCAACTTGAAATTAAGGCACAGTTAATTTTTTATTGTGAATTCTAGTAGATAAATTTAAACCTATAAAAAATAAGTAAAATACAATCCAACTTTTGTGACAGTATAAACTCGTTAAAATTTTCTCAAGTATATATGTAAGAATTTTTTTAGATTATTTTTATACAGTCCAATACAATATAAAAATTTGAAGTTCGAAAATCCAGATTGCGGACGAAGGATGAAAATTTTACATTGAAAAGGAATAACGTAACAATAGATTTCCAAAAATATAATTCAACATAATGCTTGGATTTACCTGGTCTCTGCTAGCAGAAATGCACAATGCGGTCGTTCAACGATCACGATTTCGCCGGGTGTTATCTTCCTGGTCGCCACGGCGTGTCTACCTATGTCACCTCCATCATCCTTAATTTCCACCGCTCTACTGCAAGCAGGATATACGGGATTCCTCTCCTTCGTAGGGATAAGTCTATCCTCCAAACGCGCGCTGGACTTTTGCTTGCTATAAACTTGCGAAGGATTCTTTATAGCGGCTTCATTGAGTCGTTTACCTTTATCCATCACCGCGAGCATCATTCTGATGTCCGTCTCGAACTTCTGCCTACGTTTCAAGGATATCCTGGCATCATCTAAGGCCTGGAGAGCTCGCCTAAATGCTTCGATTGCCTCATCGTGCCTTTTCAGACCCAATAAACACCTAGCTCGTCGCTCTTCAAGTTTATATATAAGATCCTTCGAGTAACCGAGTAGTGAAGCTTCTTCGATATCCTCCAACGCATATTCATGACGCTCCAGGTAGTACAATGTGGCCGAGCGATTTGCCAAAATGATACTCAATTCTAAACATTTAGATATTTTATATTTTCAGGATCGATAATTATGAGAATAATATAATTATTAATCAAAGAACGCCAATAACCACGAAAGATTTTCAGATGAGTTATACTGAAATGCATGAAGAAATGACGGCAATTTTTTTAATAGTAAACGCATTATATAATCTGGAATATTATTTTATTTTCTTATTAAATTATTATGTTATATAATTATTATGTTATATAATATTGTTAATTACAAATATTAATTGCAGGTATTAAATTATATAAACATAATTATATACAAATTAAACAATGAATGTTACACGTATCTACCTGTTGATGGTGCTAGAAGAGCTGCATTCGAATACGTTTCCAAGGCCTTCGTGAATTCACCGCGGCCAAAAAATTTGTTTCCGATGTCTTTCAATCGAATAGCACTGTCACGATCCTTGATCATAGGCTTCTCTACCTCTAGCGGTAATTCATGTGCTTCAGGATAACTCAAAACAAAAGCCACCCTCTCAGCATCTGATTCGAGGACGGAAAATTTCTTGAAATCTTGCTGGCGAATTGCTTTTCTTACCGCTAATAAATTCGAACGGAAAAATCCACTGATTTCCGGCTCATTTTTCAACATGATATTTTAAGTATTTTTCTTTATTAATGCGTGACAACAATTAAAAATTAAATGCGTTGGACATAATGATACTGGAGCACTTGAATTGTTTTAAATGATAATATCATTTATATTAATATATATATATA